TCAACACCGCCATCACGCCGCGCTCCCCTCTGCATGGCATCAGGGCGCTCCCTTGGCGCAGCATTTAGGAACGCTGCGCAGAAGAGCCACGGGTGGCAGCAGCAGCAAGGGCGGCTTTTTGCTGCTCCAAAAAGGAGCAGCATTTGCCAGCTTTTTTTGGAGTGGCAAACTGCCAGATTGGGGCTGCGGCATGTGGTTGCCGCGGCCCCAATCCGGCGTTCCCAGGAGTGGCATGGAGCTGCCCCTTAGGGGCCATCTGTATGGCCGCTAAGGGAGCTGATCATGTTTAGCCTGAAGAAGAGAAGGTTAAGACGGGATATGATAGCCCTGTTTAAATGTTTGAAGGGAGGTCATTTTAGAGATGGAGCAAGCTTGTTTTCTGCTGCTCCAGAGACTGGAACATGGAGCAATGGATGCAAACTACAGGAAAAGAGACTCCACTTCAACATTAGGAAGAGCTCCCTGATGGCAAGAGCTATTTGACAGTGGAAGACACTCCATTGGAGAGTGGTGGAGTCTCCTTCTTTGGAGATTTTTAAACAGAGGCTGGATGGCTATCTGTCATAGTGAGGACATGGATGGTGTCTTCCTGCATAGCGGAAAGGGATTAGAATGGATGGCCTCTTGGACACTACAAATCCCAGGATTTGATAGGATGTTGCCATGGCAGTTAAAGTGGAATCATAGCACTATAAGGGTGCAGTGTGTGCTAAATTCCTCAGGAGTCCCCTTGGTCTGCCCATCTTCCAGCGCATTACAGCACCCCAGGATGGGAATCTAAAGTTGGCATCCATCTGCAACAGTAAAGGAATACCAATCCGCAGACTCCAAATATTGAAAAGGAATGATTAGCACTGCACGATGCAATATTAAAAATAGCACACTCTTAAAACCACAGCAGGAAAGGCCAATGGATCCCTCTCGGGGCACCATCTGAGTTCAGAGAAAGCCTCTTCAGGAGGAACTGGAGCCATGGGGCCAAGCAAAATGGCCTTCCTTTATACAGGCCTCTCTGCAGGCACTGTTCCTTCCTAGCGGATCATGCCCTTGTCATTACCCATGAGCTTGTTCTTTGCCCTAACCAGAAACGGAGGCTCCATGCAGATGGCGAGGTAATTACCGCTTATTTTAAAAAAATGAATCACAGCATCTTAGGGGGAAAAAAAACTTTTGCAATGAAAATGTATGCAAAGGAAACGTAAGGCGCACATAGCTCACTCCTTTCTCTGCAGCTGCATCCTCATAAGTATGAAGGAAGAGCACACTTGCCCACAAACAGAGTGCATCTGAGGAAATGGACCGGAATCTGTGAGATAAATTGAGATTGCTTAAAGATGCCATAAGACACCCTTTTTTTAAAAAAGAAAAAAAAAAAGAAAATCTTTTTCTCTCCTCCTCCTCCTCCTCCTAGAATGATTGCAAGAATTCATGAATGCATAAGCTGAAGCATTGTTTTGTTCTTATCATTTCCCATCAAGTTGGCTTTGACTTATAGAGACTACGAACGAAAGACTTCCCAAAGCCCCAGCCAGCAACTGCCCTGATCATGTCTTGCAAACTCACTACCATGTTCAGTTCTGGGTGCCTTATTTTAAGGAGGATTTAGACAAGTTGGAGCAGGTTCGTAGAAGGCAACTAGGATGATAAGAGCGATGGAGAACAAGACCTAGGAAGAAGAGTTGAGGGAGCTGGGCATATTCAGCTTGGTGAAGAGAAGCCTGGGGGTCTCATTATTGCACCCTTTAAATATGCCAACTTTTTGGCTTATGGAGACCCCTAAGGTGAACCTTTCATGGGGTTTTCTTGACAAGGTTTGTTCAGAGCAAGTTTGTCACTGCCTTCCCCTGAGCATGTGACTTGCCCAAGGTCACCCAGTGAGTTGCATGGCCAAGCTGGGAACTGAACCCCGTTGTCCAGAATCATTGCCCAATACTCACAGTACAATGCCACATTGGCTCTCCTTCTCTGGGTGTCTTCAAAAAGAGACGGGCAACGATCTGCTGCTGGGGATGCTTTAGCTAGGCATCATGGTGTGGAGGAGTCTCCTCTCTTGGAGGTCTTTAAACAGAGGCTGGATGGCCATCTGTCGGGGATGC